TTCGCTTCTGGGCCGCACCGGAAACTATACGAGATGATTACACAATGGATCGAAAATGGTCGTCTTGCTGACCCTGTAACACTCTGGCCGGATATAACTTCAACAGGGCTTCTCGATGAATATGGTGGCCCGAAATATATAGCGGAATTGTTAAAGGCGCTTCCCGCAGACACCCCTTCCTGAGCAAAACAAGGGTGCCCGGCAAAAAGCTTTTGCACTGTGAAGAAAACGGCAGAAAACTGCCATTCTGATGACAGTGCAAAGCCAGAAAAAGGCAAGCCGATCCCGTTTTGCACTGTCATCGGATCTCGTTTTGCACTGTGATCGGTGAGGCGGTGTCCGGTTAGGCTAGGCTTCCACGGTAGCCCGCTTCTCTTTCAGACATTCCAGCCTGTATTCGGGCGAAAATCAGACGGTATTCTTCGGGAGAATGAGGCATCCAACCGTTATTTTTTTTATCTTCATTACCCGTGGGGCAAGGTTTGCACTGTGATCGAGACCAAGGGAAAGCCAGCGTTTCCGTGAGGGCTTTCATGATGAACCGATACCCGTTGCAGCCGTTCATCCAGCGGCGCCCCCTGCGGATACGGTTATGGGAGCGGCGTAGGATGCCGAGCTGCTCGGCCTGCTGGATAGCGTAGGCCACTGACCGGCGGGAACACTTGGCGGCTCTGGCAAGGCTCTCATAGGACGCTGGCCGGATAGAGCGGGCGATGATGAGAAGCACGTCTTTGGCCGTCCGGCTGATCTGTCCAGCGCGGAAGGTGTTGAGAATGGCGGTCTGAATTGCGGTGGTCACAGTTGGTTATCTCCAACAAGCTGACCATCTAAGGCTTGAAGACGTGCCCGGATGCGGGTTAGGTCTTCAGCGAAAGGCGGTCCACTTGGTAAGCTCTGGTGGACTTGCTGAAGGCTCGGTGTTGACGCACCGGGCCTTCGTCATATCTGGGGGCATGATTGGTCTAAACGCCAAAGAAGGCAACCCTACCGGCCTCGACCTCTCCCCCTGTCCTGCCCTCGCCTCTGGGCGATCTCTTGCAAGCGTTTCCTGTATTCCTCCTGCTCTTTGGCTCTTTCCTGCGCTTTTTGGCGCTCTCTGGCCTCTTTCTCGGCCCGCTCTTTCTGCTCTTTTTCGATGGTGGCCGACCCGACAGATTGTGCCAGGGACGAAAACCAATCGACCACTTCCTTGGCGGCACTGGTCGCCCTGGTGATTGCCTGCTCCGCCGCGTCGATCAGTTTCTTGGCCGCGTCTATGACCGCGTTGCGCTCCGCTGCGGCCGCGTTCTGCTTGGCTTTGAACGTCCGGGGTTTGTAGTTCTGGCCCTGTGCTTTCTGCTCCCGGCGCTCAATGGCCGTGGCTTCCGGCCCAAGGTGAACACCCGGCACCCGGTCGATTCCCTGCGCGGCATAGCTGCGCGGCTCCACGCGGGCTTTCTGGTGGTTCTTTTCCAGTGCCTCGTTGCACTGCATGGCCCACAATTCGCGCAGACTGGACACCTCGGCGGCGGCGGTGCTGGCAACGTCCAGTTGCCGGGTCTTCGCCCCTAGCCCGTCCGGTTCGACAACGCGGGTCGTGGTCAGAATGTGGGCATGGTGGTTGCGCTGGTCGCCGTCCTTGCCGGGGGCATGGAGTGCGACATCAGCCGCAACCCCGAACCGCTCCACAATGGATTCCGCAAAACCGCGCACCAAGGCTTCACGGGCCGGGGCGTCCAGTTCATGCGGAATGGCCACAACATACTCGCGCGCAACCTTCGCATCTTTGCGGCGCTCGGCGGCTTCGGCAGCGTTCCACAGTTTGGAACGATCAGCCGCCCATTCGCAACCGGAAGGCACAACCACAAACTTGCCATCTACGCCGGTGCGTTTGGCATAGTCGTGGGTCACGCCGTCCCGGTCATTCGTGAGCGTTTCGCCAGTTCGATAAGCAGCAGCAGCAACGGCACTTCGGCCCGTTGCCCGCGATACTGCTTTCACATCGAAATGGCAGATTGCCACGAAAATCTTCCTTTGGCGTCTAAACGGGGTGCAGGGGTGGAACCCCTTGCCGCAGCGCATTGCTTGCAATGCTATGATGCGCCCTTATTCTTCCTACGTCAGAAACGGGTTGGCCTCAAGTGGTCTTTATGATACCGTCAAAATCCAGAGGAGATTTTTCAAGAAATGGCAAAGACTACTGCTGAAATTGTCGCTGAGGAAAAGAAGAAAATCGAGCAGGCAAAGGCTCGTATTCAAGCGGCTATGGCAAAAGACAATGCCAAGGAAAGAAAACTCGACACACGCCGGAAAGTCATTCTGGGTGGGCTTCTGATGGATAACGCCAAAAGAGACCCAAGCTGGAACCGCGCCTTAACTGCCCTGATTAAGAAAGTTTCCCGCGAAAACGATTTGAAGGCTTTTGAGGGATACGAAATCCCTGAACTGCCTTCCGCTCCGAGTGAAAATCAGTGACCACCGGAGCCGAAAGAGGGCAACAGCTTTTTGCCGATCTGCTGGAAACCATGCAGCGGACAACGGCAACGATGGAGAGACTAGACGCCGAGCAGAAGAACCAGTGCCGCACCATCGAGCAGGCCGCCGACAGAGCCTCTAAAACGGCTCAGGATGCGGCTGAGGCGTTCGCAGTATCGAAACCACGCCTGATGATCTGGACGGCACTCTGCGCGGCTCTTCTGGTCTGTGGGGGGTGGTTGATTGGCTACTGGGTGGGGCATCGTGACGGGTGGGCCTCTGGTGACGCCAGCGGATACCGGCAGGCCATTGCAGCCAACGCCGCCGCGTCATGGGCCAACACCAAAAGCGGGGTAATGGCAAAGCGCCTTGATGAGATGGGAAACCTGCAACCTCTGGCGGCTTGTAATCTTCCGGGATTCAGCATCGAAAAGGGGGAGAAGGGGTCGCGTTGGTGCGTCGTCGCAGGAAAAGACGGCCAGTTTCACGGGTGGGCGCTTCCATGAGTGACAGCGAGCCGAATAGGGTGGAGCAGGCCATTTTAGGAGCCTTGCTTGCCGATAATCGCCGCTATCCCGTCATTGAGCAGATCATAACACCGGATCAT